AGAAAATCATGGGATGTCTGTGGCTGCAAGACATATGACAGAGCTTGAAGAGTGTTAAGAGTGTTGAGAATAGTAGATTTGATAAGCAAATCTCCTCAGCTCATGGACTGTTATGCAACAAATAGTACAAAGAGAATGTGGAGAAGGTTACTTATGGAAATGGATTACATCTTGTGATCCAAACTCCTGCACGCTTTAGGAGGAGGTGAGGCACAGAAGAACCAGCAGCGAGTCTTCCCTTCCCATCCAAGGAATTTTGAAGGGCAGTCTGAGATTTGTGAGACTAAGATATATGTTCTAGGCTCTTCAGAGCTCCTGGCATTGGCATTGGGTGCCACAGGAAAGCAATCACACTTGTAACCTAGGAAATGCCACTTCCTTCATAACAAAGTAAACAACAGCTAAGGTCTGAACACTTGGTTCTCTGGAAACATGCTACCCACCTGGGAGTGAATATTGGTGTGCTGCTCCAGGCTTACAGCGTGTCCAAAGGTTTTGCCACATACTTCACAAGCAAAGGGACGGGTCCCACTATGAGACCTTCGGACATGGACCTCCAGTCCATGGGGAGTGGAGAATACCTGCAAAACAAAATGCTAGTGACCTTTTTGAGGGAAGGCAGCTGTGTCTCCATCTCTGTTTTCAGTTCCTTCTCTTTATTTGATTCTTCCCTCTTGCGGGCCACATGAACTGTATCATTCCTAGCGCCCATGTCCCTTAGTCAGGAGAATAAGTAGGCACCTGTTTTAAGTCACATGCATTGCACTTTGGTGTAACGCAGTGAAACACTGATGTATGCACTGAAAATCTCTCCAGGCTCTCCCCACCCCTAAGGCTCTTCTGTGACACACCTTGTTGCACTTCATGCAGTGGTAGGTCTCCATTTCTGAGGAGTAATGCATGCTGTAATCTAGAGGGGGTTCGGCACTTGGCATGAGGTGGCTTCCGTACAGGCTAACTGGATGCTCCAGGAGGGCTGACTGCATGGTGGAAGACATCTGTCGGTAGCTGTATGGCAAATGGAAAGCATCCCAAGAAAAGCCGGTTTTGTAGAAGGTAGGGGTGCTTGTCGTGTTAGTGCAGCCTTTGATCTGTGGACCTGAGATGGCCATCTCTGAGTTTGCAAAGGAGAAGGAAAAATGAGTGTTATGCCATTGCCTGCAGATGGGCACCAGTAAAAAAGCTCCTCAGGTACCATTCCCCCATTTAATGTCCTGGCTGACCTTGGGAGTTGCAGTTGGTAGCTCCTCCATATTTAATTCAAATTCTGATTACCATACAAAGTTCCTATTATGACTTTGATTTCAATCTGTGGAAATTTTAGGGGACAGGGGATGCTAAGGGAATATTAACAGTCCTACTAGCCCTGCTTCATATGATGTTTGAACAATTATCATGAGACCACCCACCTTGACCCATAGAGCATAGAATTGTATTAGTCCTTGAGTTTTGGAGGCTCACTCATTGGGAATCATAGCATCATCCTTCAGGGAGATGCTGATCTAGACCAGAATTGTAAAGGGAAATATAGAATGCTCTTGAGAAGCTCTGTCTTGGACAAGTTTGACCATTGATGTCAAAATAAGAGCTGCCATTTACTGAAAATCTGGACCAATCATAGTGGCTCCATAAGCCAGCCCAGCCCTGACCTTTTACAATTGTGGTCTTGGGTAACAGACCTTGAGCTGAAGGGCCTGGCAGCATCCTGCTCAGGTACTGGACAGGGACACTTTCTTCTTTTAGTTCAGATAGGTCCTTTTCTTGTTTTGGAATCACACATTCTAGGTCCTGTTTCTTGATGTCCTCTGATGTCTTACCTCCTATGGCTGTAATCACACGGTAGAGTCACAGTTAGTTTATCCTAGCTGTTAGGAGAAGAGTCTGTTGAGGTGGATTTTGTACTGAAGTATGAACCCATGCTTGGATACATGAGCCCATACTCAATTCCCTGAATAAATGCAGAGTGGTGCAATCAGCACAGCAATCAAGGTCTGTCCATTGCTGAAAAGAGGGAAATTCCAAGCAGGATGAGATAGGCAAGGTAGAGGGGGGCAGGAAGAAATGATAGGACACTTGGCTCCCTATATAGTTAGAGAAAATTAACCCTAGAAGGCCACATGTCTGTAAGAATAATTTCCCTATTTAAAACTACTTTAATTTGTGTGAGTAACTAACAATCGCTAACTTATTAACCTCCCTGCCCCTCTCATAAGAGAGTTCGGTGTTGTTAACCTGAATTTATGGGCACTCAAGTAGGGAAGCAGAGAGGGGAGGTAACTGTTTATGCATTTGCAAAGGTGACTACAGAACCTCATCTCCTGCCCACACTCACATTTCTCCATGCTTGTCCCAGCCCTTAAAGAGACCAACCAGCACTTGTTAGAAGTAGACTTTATAGTAAGAGTCTAAAATGGACAGAGGTTCAATACATGTGCCTCCTTACTGCTGAAGATGGAACTGGGCTGCTGAAGGACAGTATTCATCTGTCATCCACAACCTCTTGTGCACCAGAGAGACAAAGCGTGGTGGCAGGAATTGAAATTAAAATGTCACCTTTATTTTTTTTATCAAACTTATCATAGGGCTGGACTAATTTGATAGCCAGGGCTAGAACAAAGAGTAAGTTGATCCAAATTTGAATAAAGAAAATTTGAATAGTTCCTCAAGAAGATAATTGCCCCAGCCCTGCTACTGCATGGATGGTTGTGGGAGAGCATGAACAGGAGCAGAGGGAGGACAGCAGGCATAGGCAGAAGCAATGTTGGTTGGTGTTAATGTAGCATATAGCAGCTGTCCCTTCACCTATGAGTGCATAGGACTCCTTTCGTAGTGAGTGTTAGGATGTCACTAGTATCTTCTTGCTCTAGCTGTAGCCTTCCTTGCAAATCATTGGAAGGAGGTGGTAACACACTGAGGTAGAGAAGATGTAGGTCCAGAGAGAATGTGGACAGTGAACATAGCAAGCTGGAGATCGAGGTGGCAGAGTTGTGAGTTTGTAGAAGATTGACAACCAAGTTCAAGCTCTTTTCCCAGCTGTTAGTTGCCTGAAATTGGCCATCTTTCCCAAACTTGACCAGCTCTACACAGCAATCTTGTATCTCAAATCTTCCCAGCAACCCAGCAGAAAACAAAGGAAGGACCTAAATTTGGCTTCAGTGGGACAGTGTGGATTTGGCATAGAGAAAGAGGGCACACAGTAGAGGATCAGTTTGTCCTTAGACTGACACCTCTGTGTGGAAGCCCTTAGTTATTCTTTAGCTCAGTCATCCTACTCCCTTTGCTTGCCTACTCAATTATTGATTTGCCTTGGTGTATTCTTACAAGCTCAGTGGATGGACTGACTCACCAGTGAAAGGAGAGGTTATTGGATTCCACGTGAGTATAGGCAGGTCATCTTCCACAAAGCGGTGTTGATGGTAGGTATGAGCCTTTTTGCTCTTCACCAAAAAGGAACGTGGCATTTTCCATTCACTGCCTGGGCAGAAACAGAGAAAAATGGCAAGTAAACCTCTGTGGTTTGAGGGTAATTTCTCATTTGTTCCCCCAGCATATCAGCTCTGTATGCAGCGGTGATGAGAATTAAAACTCTTCTACTAGGGAGACAGCGAGTTCATCTCAAAGGTTTCTCCATCCAACTAAGAGCAGGGAGTGGTTGTGTGGGTTTAGGCGCATGATGGATCTCAACTCTGTGAGAGAAGACACAGCGGGGACCGTAGGTTGGAGATCACCCCTTTGAGAAAGGGGCTGTTTTAGTGTTTTTACCCTACCTAGAAGAGCACAATCCCAAGCCATGGCATGGGCTCCTCTGTGAAGTTGCTACACAAATAATAATTATAGAAACAACATCAATAATAGCAGAGATGCAGTGGAAAATCCCCACAGCCGTAATGTGTGGTGGGTTTCCTTCTTGTTGGCTGTAGCTTGAGTATTTTGTATTCTGGCTGACAAACAACAGTCAAGCAGAGGCAGAGCAGAAGTGCTGGGTGAGAGAGGTTACCTTCTGGATCTGACTCAAATTTCACAGACCGTTGAAATGCTGGGTTAGGAATAAACATAAAATGCTGAAATTTAATCATACAAAATTCTCTTGCAATGCATCTGTTATCTTTATTACCCAGAACCCAGCCCGCCCTGTGCCCGCTCCCCATGGCTAGTAACCATTCTCATGTAGGCAGTGTGACAACAGGCTCTATGCTGTGCATGGCAATATCAGCTGGGGCCTTATTTGCATATGTATTTGCATTTTCCCTTGTAATTGTTCAGGATAGTAGCACTAAAAGCAAATCTAGCTATATTTCATATGAAAAGTCAGCAGTAAGTCCTGTCTCTCTGTTGATGGGAAGGTGCATTATTAAGTTTTGGATTTTCCTGAGAGCAGTTGAAGTATAGACTTTTTTGTTTGTTTGTTTGTTTTTAACTAAAAAGAACAAAGTTTGCTCCTGTTAAATAGGAGTGACCTGAAACCTTTATGTAAGTCAGAACAGAGCGGTGTAGGCTCCTGGAATCCCAAACAGCCTGGGATGGAAAAGGTCTGCTCCTAGGGTTCAGAAGTGCCCACACTACCCCTACCACGCTAATATAATTATATAGCCCAGTGGTGGTTTTTTAAAGGTCTGAGGGCCAGATTTCAAGTGATGCCTACAGCTGCAGGTACGTGTACCATGGAATTCACATACCTACAGCTGCAGGTACGTGTACCGTGGAATTCACACAGCGAGATCTGCTGTGGACAGTGGATTGCCAAGCCCACTGTTGTCAGTGAGAGTCAGGTGTTCCCCAGCCCACTGCCTGTAGAAATGCAGTTATAGTTGTCTTTTTAAATCTAGTCCAGGATTCCCACTGTTTCTTCTGTGACTTCAGGGATAACTCTTGGTGTCTAGCCATTTTTTCTTCTGAAATGACTCACCTGTTTTTCCTCATCTTTTTCCAAGAAATTTGCATGTAACTTGAGATGAATAAGAGAAAACAGAGGCCAAGAGTAGATTTGTTAATTTAATTTTAGAATGAGGACAAAACAGTACTGAGAATGAACTGTAAGTATGCCCTTGAGGGAAGGCACGCTGAAGTACATAGCTGTATTTACTCTAACTCTCTAATGAGGTTCCTTCTAAGTATCATGACGTGTATCTCTGTCTGGTGAAAGGCTGCAGGCACAGAAATACCTCCAGCTCTGTACAAACACATGCGTGTTCTGCCATGGGTATAACCCTTTTAGCAGTGTGCTCTGCTTAGCCCATGCACCCTGCATCCTAGCAGAGCTCAGAGGGTCTTGCTGCTCTTGGTCAGTCCCAGATGGGGTGGCTGTGCATGGAGCTGCACTCTCCAATATAGGTGTGCCCCAAGTCAAAGTCCTGCCACAAGCCCTTTATACATGAAATTTCCACTCATGTCAAAGGGATTTTCCCATGTGGTAGGGCAGGATTGTGCCCACAATGAAGGGTATTCATACCAGCAAGCTTTAGACATCTGATTTCTCTGCCTGAATTAACCAGCTAATTTCCCTGGGCTCCCCACACAGTGGAGGAAGAGGCTTTGGCAGTGGGCAACTGAATATAGGCTGAAAGCCTGTACCTACCTAGCAGCGCCTGCTGGAAGAGTCACCCTCCCTGCACACCGGCTAGAGGACCCCAAGGCATTATCCAGACAGCTTAGCCAGCTAAATTAGAGGATTGGAAATGGGTGGCATAAGCAGTCTTGCAGTGTTTTATGGTAGTACCCATATGCTAAGTACAGGAAGGCACCAAGTACAGCCCCTCTTTTCTGGCAGCAGTTGAAAAGTAGCTGCACATGAATCAATGGGATTTTTCTGGATGTATTTGCCCCAGCATATGTAAAAGTCAAATTTGGTCGAGTATCTTGACTGTTGATAAGGGCCTCTACTGAGCACAACGATCTTGAATGCACTACTGAACGTTACAAAAGGAAGCTGTCTTCCCCCACTCCATTTTAGAGAAAAAACAGGAACTGGGAGCCCAAAGCATAGTTAATTAACAACTGCATTAGACTGTCTTTGTGATTCACACAAATGGGTTAGAGGAAAGCTAGAAGCACAGATTGTGAGAGGAAAAAATACTCTCTCTCCTTGAAACTCAAGATTATCAGCAGCAAGTGATCAGCTACTACTGAAGACTAACTATATTTTATAGGGAGAGTACTGCTATGGACAGCAGACTCTGCTACGTCTTAAAGTCATTGAAGCTTCCAAGATAATTTAGCTCCAACCTTTTGCTAAAAATTAAACTTGATTTTTATGGAGTCTGCCTCCATAGCAGCGGTTTCTACCCTGACTGGCAAGTGCAAAAGGGTGTTCATTGTTTGGGCAGCATGCTTACCCAAAATGCAAGTGTCATGGCATTTTTTTATTATTATTCAATACAGAAAATAAAATCAGTAGGTGGCTAGAATTGATATTCTTGTTTGTTTGCCAGGTAGCTGTACAATAATGTTGTGGTAATCTGCCCTGAGGAAAAGACAGCCAAAAGGACCCACGGGGAAAAAACCTACTTCACTATTTTGGGTACTTAACTTGAAGCACCTTAGAAGGGCTTCTTTTACCAGTTATAAATTCCCCACTCAGATCTGAAAGCTGGCTCGGCATTTGTGAGTTTCTCTCCTATGTTCGAACTCAAAGTTCCTTCATCCTCACTGATGCTCTCTGGTGATTTTGCAGAGTATCACATGTAAAACTGTAATGTAATGCTGAAACACTGGAGGCTGTGCAAGAACCAAATTAAAAAGTTTTTGTTTGGTTGGGTTTTTTTAGGGGGTAGTTTCTGACTTCAGGATCCTAATTTCACTTGATCCTATGTTCCTCGTGAAGCCAAATACCTAAAACTAAATAATGGGGCCCTTTGATATAGTTTAGAAGAAATTGATCTTCTCACTGAATTACATTATGGAGCTGTTCTCTCTGGGTCCTTCAGTGAGACAATTCATACCATGAAATACTGTATTTGGAAACAGGTGTTTGCAGGATTGTGCCACGCTGCATCAGGAACCCGATTTGCAGTGTAGGTTCTATTCCAAAGCTGGCTTTCATTTTCCTCTAAGTTAAAGTAATCCTCTTTTCAAATCTACAAAGTTAATTGTAGATATGAAACCCTTTTTCCACACTACACTTACTGGAAATATTTAATTTTAACTTAAAATTGATAGATATTTTCATATAAGTTGATGAGTGCACAAAGTTTCAGGCTAAAAGAGGCTTATTTCCTTCCTATTGCTTAATTTACATTTAAATCATAATATTGCTTTTTTTTCTCTTCTTTCTGGCAAAGGTGAAGCTTTCAAAAATAAAGAATAGTTTGTTTTTTGGAAGACTACATTTTTGAAGAAAAAACTACAAAACAGAACATGACCTGTGTCTTGAAATATTTAAAAGCCTAAATAAAATAAGAGGTTTTATGGACTTCTGACTCTTTAAATATAAAGTAATATTAAAAAAGAATTTAAGTTCTTCACAACAAAATTAATCATGTCTTCACTACTTCACCCTTGCAAAATCGAATGTACTTGGGGCAAGTAATTTTAATGCTGCTTTTTTTAGTGGAAAAATGAGCAGAACACTTCTAATTCCTATTGTAAGACTGGGCAAATGGACACAGGCAGGGCTGGCAAATTACAGTGAAAACTTTGTCCAAGAAGTGGAATGGAAATGCTTATATACTTGTAGTATCTAGATAAAATGTTTAGGATATAATTGCAGCATTTGTTCTTCAGAAACCTCATTTAGCTCCCAGTGATGTTGGGAATGCCACTGGCTTTAGCAAACTTTGCCTTAGGCTTCCATGGATAAGTAGACTTAAATACTGCAGTCTAACCAATTCTATCCCCCTTAACGTATAGATGCACTTACTGTGTGAACTTGCAAATAATTTGTTTTCTTGCTTAACGTATTGAATCAATCTGGTGGTATACGAGGAGCATCTATAAATAGCTAATTCCATATGCTAAAAATTGTTACACTAATCAGCATGTATGTAGAAAGGATGGGATAATAATAATAATAATAATAATAATAATAATAATAATAATATAATAATAATAATAATAAAAGATAGATTTGAAGCAAAATTCCTGAACAGGAGAGATTAAGTTCTCATCTAGCAAAACTGGCATAGATAGATTGATGGCAGCAGAGGTGTGTGCTGTTTTCTGAATTTAAAGGTCTGTAAAAGAGCAATTCGAAGGAAAAATATAGTATGCCCTCTCCTCAATGCTTAAGTACAAAAGTCTACATCTGGAAACGGTTCCTTCTGCATGGAGCTTGCTGGGACACAGGTATCTGAGACCACTGTCACATCTTTTATATTTTGTTATATTATCACTTTCATATGTCCATGTGTGAGAGCGAAGCAAGTATACGGTATATAATTTTAAAAGGTTTGACTCATTTAAGTGAACAATTATCATAAAGGGATCTTCAGGACAAGTGACCTACACAGTGGAATATGCTACATAT